GTAAACTACTCAACAGTTGGGTAACACCCTAATAAACTGTACAACAGTTGGGTAACACCCTAGTAAATTGTACAACAGTTGGGTAACACCCTAGTAAACTACTCAACAGTTGGGTAACACCCTAATAAACTGTACTACAGTTGGGTAACACCCTACTAAACTGTACAACAGTTGGGTAACCCCTAGTAAACTGTACAACAGTTGGGTAACACCCTAGTAAACTGCACAACAGTTGGGTAACACCCTAGTAAACTGTACAAGTTGGGTAATACCCTAATAAACTGCACTACAGTTGGGTAACACCCTGGTAAACTGTACAACAGTTGGGTAACACCCTAGTAAACTGCAGTACAGTTGGGTTACACCCTGGTAAACTGTACAACAGTTGGGTAACACCCTCGTAAACTACTCAACAGTTGGGTAATACCCTCGTAAACTACTCAACAGTTGGGTAACACCCTAGTAAACTGTACAACAGTTGGGTAACACCCTGACTAACTACCCTACAATGGATCATACACTGGCATATTTTCTCAGATTTTGTTTTGTTCACAAGTCTTCATTCTTTTCTTTTCCTCAACTGCTCCTTCACTCCTGCCATTTTTTCTTCATTTGTGTTTGTTTACTCATTAGGTGAAATAAAAGAAAATGTATGAAAATTTTATTAAAGCCCATTGATATGTTAGTCAAGGACCCCAATAGAAACAAGTCACTTTGACTTTTCTGGGTTATCCTATGTTACTATGCATGATAATTGTACTTATATAGACCTGTACCTAAATAAACTTACTGACTTACTATCTAGGCAGTGGCTGGTTTACTGATTAGGTCTGACTGGTAGACTTGCATATAAAACAGATTGAATGATAATTAAATGTACTGAAAATAAAAAGCTGAAATATAAGAAACGAGTGTGCTCTTGGCACAGCTCAACATCAGTGTAAGTTTGGGCACCTGTCTATAAATTTATTTAGGCATGGGTACACATAAGTGAATTCGTAGTTTGGAAGTTAAGAGGAGGTGCGGGATTACCAAAACTGTTGTCCAGAGGGCTGAGGAGGGGTTGTTGAGGTAGTTTGGACATGTAGAGAGAATGGAGCGAAACAGAATAACTTCAAGAATGTATCAGTCTGTAGTGGAAGGAAGGCGGGGTAGGGGTCGGCCTAAGAAAGGTTGCAGGGAGGGGGTTAAGGAGGTTTTGTGTGCGAGGGGCTTGGACTTCCAGCAGGATCACTTGGACAATGAAATATGGATCCCAGGTTACAACCTATACAGATGTGACAGAGTGAACAGGCAAAAGGGGGGGGTTGGCCTGTACATTGCAGAGTCACTTGTTTGCACAGAACTGCTTAATGCCTCAAATGACGTAGTGGAAGTTTTAGCAGTAAAGGTCGAGAACCAAAACCTAGTCATTGTGGTAGTCTACAAGCCTCCGGATGCAACATCCCAGCAATTCCAGGAACAGCTGTTAAAAATTGACCACTGTCTGGAAAATCTTCCAGCTCCTGCACCCAACATCTTGCTCCTGGGGGATTTCAACTTAACGCACCTAAAATGGAGGAATATAGCAAATAATATTGTTGCAGTAATAACACCAGGAGGCAGCTCTGATGAAAACTCACACTCACACGAGCTTTTAAATCTCTGCACAAAATTCAATTTAAACCAGCAAAAAATTTAGAGCCTACTAGACTGGAGAATACACTAGACCTCATATTCACTAACATGATGATCTGATAAGAAATGTCACCATATCAAAACAATATACTCAGATCACAACATAATTGAGGTTCAGACATGTATGCGTGGAGCCCCAGACCGACAAAATGAGACTAGTCACGAGGGAGCATTCACCAAATTCAACTTCAATAACAAAAACATAAAGTGGGACCAAGTAAACCAAGTCCTAACCGATATAAGCAGGGAAGATATACTAAGCAAACAGACCCAAACTTATGCCTAGAACAGATTAACTCGGTGGCACTCGATGTATGCACAAGGCTTATTCCTCTAAGAAAAAGGAGGAGTAGATGTAAAATAGAAAGAGACAGGCGCTCCCTTTACAGGCGACGGAAAAGAATAACAGAGCGGCTAAAAGAGGTCAATATATCTGAAATGCGCAGGGAGACACTGGTCAAAAGAAAAAGCAAGCATCGAACTTAAGCTAAAAGAATCCTTTAGGAGTCAGGAATCGCGGGAAGAACTAAAAGCTATAAATGAAATCGAAAGAAACCCAAAGTATTTCTTCTCCTATGCCAAATCAAAATCGAGAACAACGCCCAGTATTGGGCCCCTACTTAAACAAGATGGGTCCTACACAGATGACAGCAAGGAAATGAGTGAGCTACTCAAGTCCCAATATGACTCAGTTTTTAGCAAGCCGCTAACCAGACTGAGAGTCGAAGATCAAAATGAATTTTTTATGAGAGAGCCACAAAATTTGATTAACACAAGCCTATCCGATGTTATCCTGACGCCAAATGACTTCGAACAGGCGATAAATGACATGCCCATGCACTCTGCCCCAGGGCCAGACTCATGGAACTCTGTGTTCATCAAGAACTGCAAGAAGCCCCTATCACGAGCCTTTTCCATCCTATGGAGAGGGAGCATGGACACGGGGGTCGTCCCTCAGTTACTAAAAACAACAGACATAGCCCCACTCCACAAAGGGGGCAGTAAAGCAACAGCAAAGAACTACAGACCAATAGCACTAACATCCCATATCATAAAAATCTTTGAAAGGGTCCTAAGAAGCAAGATCACCACCCATCTAGAAACCCATCAGTTACACAACCCAGGGCAACATGGGTTTTAGAACAGGTCGCTCCTGTCTGTCTCAACTATTGGATCACTATGACAAGGTCCTAAATGCACTAGAAGACAAAAAGAATGCAGATGTAATATATACAGACTTTGCAAAAGCCTTCGACAAGTGTGACCATGGCGTAATAGCGCACAAATGCGCGCTAAAGGAATAACAGGAAAAGTCAGTCGATGGATCTATAATTTCCTCACTAACAGAACACAGAGAGTAGTCGTCAACAGAGTAAAGTTCCGAGGCAGCTACGGTGAAAAGCTCTGTTCCACAAGGCACAGTACTAGCTCCCATCTTGTTCCTCATCCTCATATCCGACATAGACAAGGATGTCAGCCACAGCACCGTGTCTTCCTTTGCAGATGACACCCGAATCTGCATGACAGTGTCTTCCATTGCAGACACTGCAAGGCTCCAGGCGGACATCAACCAAATCTTTCAGTGGGCTGCAGAAAACAATATGAAGTTAACGATGAGAAATTTCAATTACTCAGATATGGTAAACATGAGGAAATTAAATCTTCATCAGAGTACAAAACAAATTCTGGCCACAAAATAGAGCGAAACACCAACGTCAAAGACCTGGGAGTGATTATGTCGGAGGATCTCACCTTCAAGGACCATAACATTGTATCAATCGCATCTGCTAGAAAAATGACAGGATGGATAATGAGAACCTTCAAAACTAGGGAGGCCAAGCCATGATGACACTCTTCAGGTCACTTGTTCTATCTAGGCTGGAATATTGCTGCACTCTAACAGCACCTTTCAAGGCAGGTGAAATTGCCGACCTAGAAAATGTACAGAGAACTTTCACGGCGCGCATAACGGAGATAAAACACCTCAATTACTGGGAGCGCTTGAGGTTTCTAAACCTGTATTCCCTGGAACGCGGGGAGGGAGAGATACATGTTTTATATACACCTGGAAAATCCTAGGGGGACTAGTACCGAACTTGCACAACGAAAATCACTCATTTACGAAAGCAAAAGACTTGGCAGACGATGCACCATCCCCCCAATGAAAAGCAGGGGTGTCACTACACGTTAAGAGACCATACAATAAGTGTCAGGGGCCCGAGACTGTTCAACTGCCTCCCAGCACACATAAGGGGGATTACCAACAGACCCCTGGCAGTCTTCAAGCTGGCACTGGACAAGCACCTAAAGTCAGTTCCTGATCAGCCGGGCTGTGGCTCGTACGTTGGTTTGCGTGCAGCCAGCAGCAACAGCCTGGTTGATCAGGCGCTGATCCACCAGGAGGCCTGGTCACAGACCGGGCCGCGGGGGCATTGACCCCCGAAACTCTCTCCAGGTAAACTCCAGGTAAACTCCAGGCATGCGTGAGCTTGTTTGATAGGAGTAAATGGAGACAAATGGTTTTTAATACTTGACGTGCTGTTGGAGTGTGAGCAAAGTAACATTTATGAAGGGGTTCAGGGAAACCGGCAGGCCGGACTTGAGTCCTGGAGATGGAAAGTACAGTGACTGCACTCTGAAGGAGGGGTGTTAATGTTGCAGTTTAAAAACTGTAGTGTAAAGCACCCTTCTGGCAAGACAGTGATGGAGTGAATGATGGTGAAAGTTTTTCTTTTTCGGGACACCCTGCCTTGGTGGGAATTGGCCAGTGTGTTAATAAATAAAAATAAATACACATAAGTACAATTATCCTCCATAGTTTAACTTACCTAGGATAACTCAGAAGTCAAAGTGACTTATTTCCACCGTGCTGCCTGTTCAATATCCTTGACATTACTACTGTTCATGAATGTAATATTAATAATCTCAATGGGATTATACAGTTCCTGGGGTAATGGGAGGCATTCAGGGTCGATCCAAAGAAAGGAGAACAATCCAAGTCCTTAGATCAAGAGCCCCTAACTGGCAACAAGGAACCTCCCTTGAAGGGCCAATAAGAGATACGTTGATTATCAAATGGTATACAATACCAAGAGATACTTTAATCAGGTTTGATTAAAGGTTGAGAATGACAGGTCCAAGTCGTTGAATAAAGAGCTCTCCACCAGCCTCAAGGCTCACCTCCCTTTAAGTGTCAAGAAAGACACAGCTAAGAGTTATACTGACATTACCAACTTCTGGTAGTTATCATTTAATTTACTGAAAATCAGTAGTATTACACTCGAGTTAATACTTTAAAAACGAAAGCGAGTAAGTTTCCCTACCTCTTATTAGAGACATAGTGATCAGCAGTGGCAGTGAAGCAGACAGTAGAGTAAAACTTTGTTATAAGCTTGAGAGCAGCGTCTCCCTCGCAGCCTCCTGTCAAACTCGCTTATTGGCATCATGTTCACCTACGTCAGTGGAGAACCATAGAACCACAAGAACGGGGCATGTGTGCACAGTACACGGCTGGATCATTCTATAAAACCAATGTACAAAGCAAGACAAACAAGACAACATAGAAAACACAGAATCTCATTTTAAGTAAACGTCGGGAGATTGGGAGTTGCTCCAGCAATATGGCGTACAGTAAACAAAGCTATATTATACACATCTTCAAACTCTTATTTCACGACCTTTATTCATCTTCTACCTAAATTCTGTAACAAGAAAACCCAAATTCTCAGCAGCTTTACTTTATCACTGACGGTAATATCAAAGAAATGGGGTTGATTTTTTTCCCCATCTGTCTTGCCATTGATATCATAGAACTTTAAGTGAATTTTATTGACTTAAGACTCAGGGAGACTGACACCAGTCAGCCCATCTATCATAATTCCATCGTAAAGGGGAGGCGCCACGTCTATGTTGCATCCAACAAAATAAGCCGACGACTCCTGGATGTCACTACCGGCCCGCCTCCGGCTGGGTTACAAGTACTTTGGCAGGTTAAATCACCGCCACCAGATGTAGTTAGTTTAATTTGTTTTATTATGCACCCTATACCCAAATACAGAAGTACATAATGGGTCCCGGGGATTGGGCCCTAATGTTTTGATAGCTGACTAAGTAAAAAGGTAATAAACTCACAAGGTAATGAATCCTGTGAGTAAAGTTACTTATCTTCCTGACAGGTATTCCTTGATCCATTGTAGTGCCTTCCCTGTTATCCCTGCTTGGTCCTCCAGTTTTTGCACAAATCTCTTGTGTGGAACTTTTAATCAATGCCTTCTTACAGTCCAAGAAAATGCATCTACCCACCCCTCTCTCTTGTCTTACTGCTGCTGTCACCCTGTCATAATTTTTGTGACACAGGATTTCTCATCCCTAGACTGTGTTGGCTTTTTGTGATAAGCTCATTCCTTTCTAGGTGGTTCCACCACTCTTTGATAATCTTCTCCATGATTTTGCATACATATCAGTGACATTTGGTCTCTAGTTTAGTGTTTCTTTGTCTGTCTCCTTTTTTAAAAATTGAGACTACATTCACTGTCTTCCCATGCCTCAGGTAATCTCCCTGTTTTCAATAGTTTGTGTTGAATATTGTTGTTAGGGGTACACATAGTGCTCTGCTCCCTCTCCTCAGGCCCCCATAGAGAGATGTTATCCAGTCACATCGTCCTTTGAGGTATCTAGCTCACTCAGCAGCCTCTTTGCTTCTTCCTTGTTATTATTTTTATTTTTCATCACTAGCTAATGCCAACTACCTCCAATATCTATACTTCTTTCTTACGCTATTAATTGCTTTAATTTTAAATTACAAGTCAAATCTTACTCCAAATTAATAATATTCACTATTCTTACCTGTCCTTTTAATTTTGTTTATCACTACTTGTTTTTTAGTCACTTTTCATTGTGTATGCAATTGTGTATATTCCAATTACTTTTTTGCAAGTACCAAAACTATCTTTTTGTTACCTCCTATTTTTTTTTTTTTACTTTTTATTGTGCAATAAACTGCTCAATTTATTTAATATTACAAATCAGTCTTCTCCTAAACCAATATTTTTTTAAATAGTGACCATCTGTCCATTTAACTTTGTTTCCCATTACTTAATTTTAGTCCCTTTATATTTTCTCCTTTTATTTTAGCTTTAATAACTACCCTATTTTTATATATTCACAATTGTTAAAATAATCAAGGTGCTTTTCTCAGGTGCTAAAGTAGAATAAGTTCACAATTTTGCCATTATATTCCAAGCTCATTTATTTGATTACCATTTTATTGTTCACCAAACAACTTATATTAGTCCCTTTTTATATTATAATTTTATACTATAATTCTAACTTAAAGAATTACCTTTATAGTACTACCTACTATCATATTCCCAAGCTCCATTATTTGTCATCACTTTATTTGTATAGTCCCTTTTATATTGTCTCCTTTTATTTTAGCTTAAAAAAAAAAAAAAAAAAAAAAACTACCTTAGCTCATTATTTTACATTTGTTAATAATTCAGGTGCTATTTTTTAGCTTAGACTATTTACTTTGTTTTATACTTAATTCTAACTTAAAATTCACTACAAATCTTATGATTACAAGCATTGATCCTGTTACCAACCTCTTATTTAATGATTTAAAATGAATCAAACAGTTACTGTAATTACTACACTGCAGAACAATAAAAGGGAAATTCCAGTGCCAACAACAACATAACTATCTTTAACTACAATATAAGATCTTTAAGCAAGCATTCTGAGAACCACTCAAGCATTACTAAATTCCTTACATGCCAATATGTCCATCATTACACAAAACTGAAACCTGGCTAAAGCCTGATAGTACAGATGTCTAGCCATTCCTGGTTACACAGCCATACACAACTGTAGGCCGGGACCAACAGGGGGTGGCACAGCCATATACTACTCAGACAACTAGAATGTATCACTAATACTTGCACAAGGGATGAACATGGGGAATATATAATAGCCAAATTCAAATCCAAATACCTACAAAAAACCTCTACATTGATAAACATCTACAGAGTTCCAAAGTCAAACATTACCCAAATTTTTAGTCAAAACCTAGGAAGTATGATAACTGATGCACGCATGAACAAAGATCACTTACTACTCTCAGGTGACTTCAATATAATCTCCTGCAAGACCAGGACCCACACGTTACTGAATTCACAAACACAATGAGTAACTGTATGTTGCTACCAACAGTAACAAAACCTACAAGATTTACAGAGACTAGTGTTTCCCTACTTGACCACATCTGGACCAACACCATATCCCCTTTAAAATCAGGCATAATTACAGATAATACCACAGACCACTACCCCTATTTTCCTCATAACAACTTTGGTAAACTACCCCAAGACACTACTAAAATCAAACCCTTTAGACTTCACAATGAGGCAGCCATTAATAACTTCACAACAGCAGTAGCAAACATTGACTGGCACACTGAGCTAGAAATCTATAGAGATATTGACGAAAGTATTAATAATTTTATAAAAAAGACCCAAAACCTCTATAACAAGCACTGCCCAAAAAAAACTAAAACAGATGACAGCTAAGAGACTGAACAGTCCCTGGCTAAACCCCGCATTCTCAAATCCATAAATACAAAACACCAATATGGAAAAACAGTACGAATGGGTCACATAACCAGAGACCAAAACAAAAAGTTACTCGTCAATCCTAACCAGCCTGATAAGAAGGGAAAAAAATTGTATTATGAGAACAGATTATCCAACTTACAAAGGGGATATAAAAAAACCTGGAAAACCCTATCAGAAATTCTGGGAACAAAAAGATATCACAAATAGCGAAATAAAAATTAGCAAAATCAGATGAAAACCCCCAAATCCCACCAACAGAAACAGCAAACAGACTCATTTATTTCTTCTCCACTAATAGGACAAAACCTTGCCAATAAAATCCCAAGCTCAATACCCCACCAAAATGACTACCTCACCGGCAACTACCCGAACACACCGTTCCCCGCTCCGACTAACCCATACGAAGTCTCCTTATTATCAACGCACTAAAAAACAAGGCAGGAGATTTAAATACCTTACCCCACCCTTTATATACAAAAAAGTAAACACAGTGCTATCACCAATCCCTTGCAACCCCTCTTTAACAAATCCATTGAATCCTCCACCTTCCCTACAGTACTCAAAAAAAGCAAAAGGGGCACCCCGATCCACAAAGGAGGAGACCAAACAGAGTTGAATAACTAAGGGGCCCAAAATCCAACTTACACCCTCTCTCAAAAATCTCGAAAAATTAATTCATAAACGAATCTAAATCCTACCTTATCTCCCAAAACATACTCAACCCCTGCCAATTTGGATTCAGGCCTAATAAAAATACTAATGATGCTATTTATACCCCTGCTAGAACATATATACACTGCAATAGAGAAAAAAGAAGTCCCACTGGGGGTCTTCATTGACTTACGTAAAGCTTTGATACAGTTGACCATGACTTGCTCCACGTAAAATTGTCACACTATGGTATAAGGGCACTCCCTCAACTACCTCAAGTCATAACCTCAGCACGAAGGGCCCAAAATGTGTACGCAAATGGGCAAACTCTTCTGCAAAAACCAATTACAGTTGGTGTCCACAGGGAAGTGTCTTGGCCCTCTTCTCTTTCTCCTAAACATTAAATGACCTACCAAATGCTTCGCAATTACTCCAAACCCACACTGTTTGCAGATGACACTACATACGTCTTCTCCCACCCGAGCCCAGTCACGCTAGCCAAAACTGTAAATACCGAATTACAGAAAATATCTACCTGGATGAGGACTAACAAACTTCACTAAACATTGACAAAACCTACTTCATTCAGTTTGGTAACAGAGCTACAGATGTCCCTCTTAACATAATGATAAATGGATCACCTATCACAAAGCTAACAGAGGGAAATTCTTTGGAATCCACCTTGAAATAGACCAAATTTCATACACATATTTCAACAAATTTCTAAGGAAAATTTCCAAACTGTAGGCATACTTCAAAGATACGGTACTATCTCCACAGTCACCCTCCTGGCCCTATAAACACTCTCTTATTTACCCCTATCTCACCTATGGAATTTGTGCATGGGGCTCAACAACAATTAACCATCTCAGACCACTAAAATTTCCCAACAAAAGGCTGCAGTTTGAATGATAACAATTCTCACTACAGGCAGCACACTCCACCAATATTCAATACACCCAAACCTACTCACCATACAAAACATCCATACTTATTACTGCACCTATTACATACATAGAACACTTAACTCTGATATTAACCCCCCCCTCAAACATCTCCTTGCCAACCTCAACAAACACATGACCATAACACAAGGCACAGATCACTCTTTGATGTTCCTCGTGTCCATCTCCACTATGCAAAAACTCAATGCACATAAAAGGGCCCCAAAATCTGGAATTCATTACCTGTAAATATAAAAGAAACACTACCTGTTTATAAATTCAAGTCTCTTCTCAAAGATCACTTACTCACCCCCAAAAACCCAAAAAAATACTGAATAACTGAACCTTATAAATTGTATATCTTAAATGTTTCTCACAATTATATACATAAATTTTTAAACCTAAAACCCAATCTAACTTTATTATTTTTTAAACACACTACCTAACAGAATACTCCATATGACTGAATGTACAACAATGCATGCAACCATATGACCTGTCTTTGTAATACTCACTTGTGCTTTATAGTAATCTGTTTACATTAATGTTTTATCACTGATTTCATCATTGCTTAGTTAATCTTAAGTTAATTTTAAGCCAGCCCGTAATGCTATGCATAGTATAAGTGGCTTTGGCATGCTGCTCTTATCTGTATTTTTTTGTACCTCTGTATGTGTGCTCAAATTGTTAATAAATAAATAAATAAATGTATTGTGTCCAGCACTTGGTGATGTACTCCACCTCTCCGTCTTTCTGGAGTCCCTTCTGTCTGATCTGTGAACACCTCCTTGAATCTCATGTTGAGTTCCTTGCATACTTTGCGGTCGTTTCTTGTGATCTCTCCTCCTTCCTTCCTTCCTTAGCCTGATTACCTGGTCCTTGACTGTTGTTTTCCTTCTGATGTGGCTGTACAACAACTTCAGGTTAGATTTGGCTTTCGCTGCTATGTCATTTTCATAGTCATTGAGCATCCCTTCTTACCTGTGTATATTCATTTCTGGCTCTACGACTGCTCTCCTTATTCTCCTGGGTCCTTTGCCTTCTATACTTCTTCCATTCCCTAGCACACTTGGTTTTTGCCTCCCTGCACCTTTGGGTGAACCATGGGCTCATCCTGGCTTTTTCATTATTCCTGTTACCCTTGGGTATAAACCTCTCCTCAGCTTCCTGAATATTGTTGTCACATATTCCATCATCTCATTTACTGACTTCCCTGCCAGTTCTGTCCCATTATGATAATCTATGTAACTGGATTTGTGTATACCTGAATAAAACTGTACTTCTGCTGATTTTTCACATTACTGTTATTTATGGAAGCGATTACATAAATTTCAAAACAATTGCTTCCTTTCATATTTTCAGTCATTTTTCTTTAAATGACAAGAACTTTTGAAAGTGGATATCAGAAGAAAATAAGGTTTCGTTATGCATCTTGGTAACATTCTTGTTAAGTTTAGTTGTTATAAAACCTTATTCTGTTAACATTTGCCATTATTATTATTATTACATTCATGGGGAGTGCTAAACCCACAAGGGTCATGCAGTACTTGGGAAGATGGATGGCATTTGGCCTTAATTCAAGGAACTGGAGCACAGGTTCAATTTCTTAGATCAATTAATGCTTTTCAAATAGGGCCTCTCCAACTTCCCATAGACTAAGGCCTTGCCATGTCTAAATATGGCTTTGCATCAGAAACTTGGCTAAGCTGAAACCAGCCAGTACCACTGAGACTAATGATGGTGAAAAGGATTCCTTGAGAATGCCATGTCTACACAGCAGAAACAGGCAGAACCATGTACAAACTAGTTTAATCTGTTGGTCCGTGGTATGAACAACGCATGTGTGCAACATCGCAGCATACATGATAACAAGGGAGGGAGAACAAAACCATTCCTCAAAGGAAATGATTTACTTTGACACCAATGCTATATTTAGATAAATATTTTATGTATATTACAGAATAAAAAATGAATGACAATATAAACTATCCATTTCTAGTAAACCCTCAATATAACGAATTAATAGGAGATACTGTGAGTATCTGTTAAATCAGAATAACACAAATAGCAAAAAAAATAAATAAATAAATAAATTAAGTACTCTACCATATACTTAGTATAGTGCTGTGTACAGTATTATACTTAGTACAGTACTGTACACACATTTACAGATATACCATAATAAACACTGAAAATATGTAAAGGAATTAAAAAATACAATTCACCAAGTGAATTTTACCCATTATTTCAAGTCTGTTATATTGAGGGTTACACTATACAGTGGACCCCCGCTTAACGATCACCTCCCAATGCGACCAATTATGTAAGTGTATTTATGTAAGTGCATTTGTACGTGTATGTTTGGGGGTCTGAAATGGACTAACCTACTTCACAATATTCCTTATGGGAACAAATTCGGTCAGTACTGGCACCTGAACATACTTCTGGAATGAAAAAATATCGTTAACCGGGGATCCACTGTATATGCCTTCACTTTAAATTATGAAATTTAATCCCATTTGGATTTCTTCTTGGTAAGATGTTGTGTACCATCCTCTGCTATTGCAACGTATGTTTTGGTCTCATGTTGCTGAGACTTCATATATGCTAAGTATGCAGTGCTGCATAAAATTGCTACCACACCAAAGGACATAATTGCCAAGTTCTGAAACAAAAAATTAACATTAATTTTGGTAAACATTCTTTTTGTTATAAATACATTTTTTTATAATAAAGGCAAAAAGTAAGGGTTTGACCTCGTGCAGAGTAACATTTTCATATCTGGACATGCCCAAAAATGCATCCAAATAACCCTACCTCCTATGCACATCACTGCATAGGAGGTAGGGTTTGTTTTATTTTGTTTTATTTTGTTTGTTTGTTTTATTTTACAGTACATATGTATACTGACAATGTAATAAAGACATGGGTAATGCTCGAACATTTTATTATGAAGTGCTTCTACCACTTGGTACTCTGTTAGACCAATACAGGGCATCTGGACAATAATTATGGCTGTCACAACACCTCGATTCCAGCACAGGAGTTTGTACTGTCCCATGTAGGGTCCCGCTTTACAGAGTTTTGCCTTATGGCGTTCTGCTAAGACGGACATTTCAAATTATGACCAAAAACTCGCTATACACGTCCCCCCACCTGACTTTCTAATACAGTCACCGCACCCCACCCAGTTTGTTTACATTCTCCATGAGCTCCGTGAGCACCACATCTCTCCATTATGTCTGGAAACTTTCCAAAATTTCAGGTTTTTCATGTTTTATATATACTCTGATAATTATACTAATGTGTACCTGTAACTAAATAAACCTAAACACTGTGCTGGAGTGTAGGCACACATTAAAATCACTAAGAGTGTCTTATTAGTCTTGATGATGCCATATTAATAATAATACACAACAATAATCACTCTGAGGCACATTAAATGTCATATATTATGTTAATATAAGCATTTTCATTAATCCATCTATGATATTTTTTCAAAATTATATAATAAACATGCTACGTAAAATATAAACATGATAAATACACCTCACAATAAAATAAAGTAACATAAATATGAGCTGTTACATGTAGATGAACATGTACGAACCAAAACCAGACACGTTCATCTGCTTGTTTACATACTACACATCTCTCTCCCCTCTCATTTACTCATTCTCTCTCTCTCGTTTATTCATTTTACCTCGTTATTTCACCTCTCACCCTACATTAAGACTACAAATTTTATGGTAAGTAATGAGTGCACTGTATATGCATTTTATCGTTCTAGGGTTCTTTAAATGTCGTAGTACTATATTACATGTGGGTGGAGCAGGTGGCCTGGCCTGGTTGGCTACCATACCTCCTACATCTGACTTCCTACAAATAAATACAGTGGACTCCCGGTTTACAATCAGCTCCCAATGCGACCAATTATGTAAGTGTATTTATGTAAGTGTGTTTGTATGTGTATGTTTGGGGGTCTGAAATGGACTAATCTAATTCACAATATTCCTTATGGGAACAAATTCGGTCAGTACTGGCACCTGAACATACTTCTGGAATGAAATAATATTGTAACCCGGGGGTCTACTGTACTAGTCACCTCTAACCCTACATTAAGACTACAAATACTTTAAGGTAAGTAATGAGTATATTAACCCTTAAATGGTCCAAACGTATATATACGTTTTTTCAACATCTGAAAGTATGTAAAAAAATATAGATCTTCTTTTTTGTTTTACATTTGAAAACGTGCAAAAAAACTTTTACCTACATTTTTTTTTTTTGTTATACATGTATTTGAAAATATGTAAAAAAAGTAGATCTACTTTTGTAGCACTACGAATTTGAACGTCGATCTGTTTGGACCGTTTAAGGGTTAAGAACATAAGAAAGAAGGAACATTGCAGCAAGCCTACTGGGCCATGAGAGGCAAGTCCAGGTCTCCCACTGGCTTAAGCCAATACCTTAACCTGTTGTGTGTGTGTATTTTACTTTTTATTGTTGTTAATACCTAGTTCTATTGCTAACTTATATTAGTGTAAACTTGTTGTATGGCATTTATATGCATTTATAAGTGGAAAAAATGGCGTTCTGCTTTCTGGCGATGTCCGCTCTTCAGCGGTAGCCTGGAACGTAACCTGCCATATAAGTGGGGCCCTAACGTATACATGAGAGAAATGGCAACAAGTCTGGAGCAATGCCTTGGAGAGCATAAATATACCCATAGCACTGATTCACTGTAGTTCACATGGCCATCTGATGAAGGGAGTGGCCTGGCTCACAAGAAAAGAAACCAGTCTGCAGAAAAGGCATTGCCTTGAATCAGCACAGATCACCATTTCTGACATTTTAAGTCCAGTAGCTTCAACATAGATTTCCTGGCCAACTTGATGCTACCCTGACAAGACACCATGATCAGGTGATTTGACTAACATATTACTGACCTTAAGTCTCCTGCACCTATCATCTCTTCTATATACAGTAACTATTCTTTTTCATGCCATGTATTAGACTAACAAAGCTCCCAGTGAGTGAAAATTTTCTTAATAAAATGCTATCATCTTCATACATATCTGAATCAGTGTTCAGATGATATGGAATTATTGATGCTGTAAGGGAGTAGTTTCATCAAACTATGCTACATTACCTCAGAATCTCTCTCGGGAAAAATTACTGTCAGTGATAAGCATCCATGAGATATAGAACTTGTCACAAGGTAATAAACTGACAATGTTAGAAAACCTGTACTAACATATATGTCTAGTGCAAATGGTTGCCCTAGGACAAGTATATACAAGTTAGCATGTGAAAAAATATATTACTATATACACAGTAATTTAGAGGGGACTATGAAAGTAAAGGCTTGATTAATCTTCAATAAGCAGAGGTTTGTAATGGCTATTGAATCAAAAGCTTCAAATGATTACTGTATGGGTATATTCATTAATAAAAAGTAGCCTTTCCTAATTTATTATTGATAGGAAAAATATTTTACTAAATACAGATGAAACAAAAACTATAACTGCTATAAACCTATCCTTAAGCAATAAATATTCATTAACCATACAAAGCTATATGTCATTTACAAAAACTATAAGATCCCCTATACAGCCCACCAGGGACAAATCAGTTATAATATTCAAATTCTATCATTTTAAATCAACTGAATTATGCCATATATGGTATAAGTTTCACAAGAAGATAACTTACAGGTTTAACATACAATTCAAAGTTAACAGCTTTGAAAACACTTGTGGTTCGGATAGATTTAATGCCATCTCCACTTGTAATGAGCAGCTGTGCTTGTCTGTGTGTTGTGCACACCTTCTGTGTGCTATTGCTGCTCCCCATCTCTTAAATCTGGGGATATGGGGAAATTACAGAAATACCAGATAACAAATATATATATAAAATATTTGTTGGAAAAATATAAAAAGGGGAATAGATCATTAACAGAGTTGATATTAAAATACTGTACACTGAAAATATGGCTGTAAAATTTAACAAATATAATAAAGTAAAATGAATAGGTATTCTTTTTACTTAACTATTATATTTGTACTGCACTTACCAAATGTTTATTCTTGGCCATAAGTAAAATTTACTTTTTTCTCATACAAGTGCGTGGGCCGGGGGGACTGGTTGGCGCAGACCTCAGGTAAACTGCCTCAGAGATTCTGCAGATTCAGGCAAAATGGGGGAAAAAAAAGACTAACTTTTATCAGTGAAAATTTCTTTGCAACCTACTGAACAATTACATACATCATGTAAATTTTATTTTTTTATATGCAACACATTCAAATATTGTATACTGTATTGCTGCATGAAACTGCTTAGTGGTCATTTAGATATCAATAGTGAGCAGTGACACAAACGAGGTAGCTGTCCCGTTTCAACTGCAAGAATGAATTCAGTCTATTACACTACATGAACACAGACAACTTTTGAATTCCTCTGATTGCTTTTTATCCTCCTCCTAGTTATGGAGTTGCAAGTTGAACTATACTGTACTCTTATTACAGGTTTTAGTGATGTCAAATTTTGATCATGACAAAAATCTACTAGAAGTCAAGAGGAACAACCTTATACAGTCCTCTGATAAAAGCCATGGCAGAAGTCAATGACAGTATGTTTCATGATGGACTACTATTTGTATTTTACAAGGTAGCAACCATTCTGGCATCAATTTCAGTCCTCCAGTGCACTGCAATGTATGTTAATTTACATATACCTCCACACAACAATGGGACAAGTTCATTTAAACTGTTGATATAAATGACACATTCAATATGCAAAAGGGGACAAAAATTAAAGGTTTTTCTCAATGCTATTCATAATTATGGGTAAATCAGCAATAAATAGCCTGTGTTAAACTTTGATAATTTTCACAAATGCAGAAAGTGGCATTATGTCTGTTGAAATATTTTAATGTTGTCTTCCTTGATTACATCATTACAACATGTTTCATTTTTCATTAGATTATAAGCAGGGTTATTATTTTTTGCCTTCATTTTCAGAATGTGTATACTGTGGAAGATACATGATACATCTGTAGAAAGCATGAAAAGAATTCTGTTTGTAGATAAGCAATGAAATTGTGGAAGACGTTCTCTGTACCAAGATACTGTTGTGTTGTTGTGTTAAACAAGTATATGATTAAAATGGTATATAATACCAAAAAGCGGAAGATTACGATGCGTGCCAGCAGCTTGGTATCTTTACTGTTGATTCAAACATTTCACCTATGCAGGAGGCTTCTTCAGTAAAATATAAGGGAGATTAGATTGGAAACAGCAGGCACAGTAACCAAGTAATGATGATGTACTAATTGCATCATCTTTACTTTGCTATTATGCCTGCTGACTCCAATTTAATCTCCTTTTTGACTGAAGAAGCCTACTGCATAGGTGAAATGTTTCAGTCAACAATAAAGATACCCAACTGTGGCAAATGTCTTACTTTTCCTCTCAGCGAGAGTGAGGAAAGATTGTGAAAATTGCACAGTAGAGGAATAGAGTGAGAGGTACCCCATGGCTGATAAAGAAGTCTAGTCCAGAAGTTCTGATTAATATGCTGTAGTTAATTCAAAAGCACATGAACTAAACTATGTAGTACAGTTGAGTAGTGTATCCTGGAATACACAGAGGTACGTATACCTTATCACTGCATTCATGGGAAAGCACTAAACCCGTAGAGGTCATACAGCACTGGGAATTGAAAGGCATTTAGACTATTCAGGTAATGGAGCACAGGTCCAATTCCTAAGATCAAGAGCCCCTTAGCAGCATTAATGAACCTCCCTGGCAAGGATAGAAGTTAATAAATCTTTTTAAGAAAGCCAAAGTTTTAAGAATGGTAAGTTTGAATAATAAATAATACAGGATAATAAATGATGATAATAATAATACAGCAATAATAGTTAAGCACTAAACCCAAAAGGGTCAAGCATCCCTAAGTTTTAATTCATGGTAAATATAAATATGCTTCATAATGTATGTTTTAGGTACAAGACTATTATAGGCATCTTATTACATACTATATGGAGAAGTGCTAAACCCACAGAAGTCCTACAGCACCTGGAGAACTGAAAGAAAACAGGTTTGATTCAAGAAATGGAATCAAACGTGTATGAACCCACAGGAATAAGCCCTACAACACATGGGGAATAAATAGGAGATAATTAGATTTGGTCTAAGGAAAAGGAGGGTAGTGCTGATTCTTTAAATCAAGATCCTTTTACCAGCATCAAGGCCCTTCCCTTGATAGGCCAAGACATTTGAGGATAGTTCCAATTTTTTGGATAAAGTCATTAGCATTAAAGCACCTCCAGTGAAGAGTATTAAAGGCATAATTATGAAAAAATCAGTATTTAAACTATAATAACACATTATTATTAATTTATTATGTGTGGGTCATACACTTGGAGGCACTTGGATTAAATCCAAGGGAGAGGAGACGATATAAGATTTTGTTTGGATTTTTAACCTGAAGGTTAGCAACCCAAGAAAAACATAAGGTCAGTGCATCATTGAGGACTGTCCATCTTATTTCTATTGGCGTCTCACCAGGATGCAATCCACAACAATTGCATAACACTAAGGTAGATATTTACTGCTAGGAGGCCTTTCAAGGGAAGTTCCTTGACACCAGTGAGGGGGCTCTTGATCTAGGGAATTAGATCTGTGCTCCAGTTCCCTGAATTAAGCCTGAATACCTTCCATCCCCCCCCCCACAGGCACTATAATCCTATGGGTTTAGCGCTTCCCCATTTATTTATTTATTTATTTATTTAGTAATTTAAGCATACAAACAGAGGTACAAAAAATACAGGTAAGAGCAGCATGCCAAAGCCACTTATATGCATAGCATTACGGGCTGGCTTAAAATTAACTTAAGATTAACTAAGCAATGATGAAATCAGTGATAAAACATTATTGTAAGCAGATAACTATAAAGCATAAATGAGTATTACAAAGACAGGTCATATGGTTGCTTGCATTGCTGTACATTCAGTCGAATGGAGTATTCTGTTAGGTAGTGTATTAAAAAAAATAATAAAGTTAGATTGGGTCCTAGGTTTAACATTTGTGTGATATAATTGTGAGTAACATATAGGATATACAATTTATAAGGTTCAGTTATTCAGTATTTATTTGGTTTTGAGTGAGTAAGTGATCTTTGAGAAGAGACTTGAATTTATAAACAGGTAGTGTTTCTTTTATATTTACAGGTAATGAATTCCAGATTTTAGGGCCTTTTATGTGCATTGAGTTTTTGCATAGCGTGAGATGGACACGAGGAACATCAAAGAGTGATCTGTGCCTTGTGTTATGGTCATGTGTTCTGTTGAGGTTGGCAAGGAGATGTTTGAGGGGAGGGTTAATATCAGAGTTAAGTGTTCTATGTATGTAATAGGTGCAGTAATAAGTATGGATGTTTTGTATGGTGAGTAGGTTGAGTGTTTTGAATATTGGTGGAGTGTGTTGCCTGTAGTGAGAATTTGTTATCATTCTAACTGCAGCCTTTTGTTGGGTAATTAGTGGTCTGAGATGGTTAATTGTTGTTGAGCCCCATGCACAAATTCCATAGGTGAGATAGGGGTAAATAAGAGAGTGATATAATAATAATACTGCTAGGTGAACTGGGTAAAGCAGGTGTTTACCTGGAGTTTACCTGGAGAGAGTTCCGGGGGTCAACGCCCCCGCGGCCCGGTCTGTGACCAGGCCTCCTGGTGGATCAGAGCCTGATCAACCAGGCTGTTGCTGCTGGCTGCACGCAAACCAACGTACGAGCCACAGCCCGGCTGATCCGGAACTGACTTTAGGTGCTTGTCCAGTGCCAGCTTGAAGACTGCCAGGGGTCTGTTGGTAATCCCCCTTATGTGTGCTGGGAGGCAGTTGAACAGTCTCGGGCCCCTGACACTTATTGTATGGTCTCTTAACGTGCTAGTGACACCCCTGCTTTTCATTGGGGGGATGGTGCATCGTCGTGTGAGGAAACTTGATCAATATTTCGCCAATGCTGGAGAGCAATTCTAGGTCCTCAAGTGAGTGAAGACTCTATCAATTGATTATTTGAATCAAGAAGCTTTCACCCGATCCCAATGGAAATAAGTCACTATGACTTTCTGGGTTATCCTGGGTAAGCTACACATAAGCTGCTATATATGGTACTTTACGTAACTGTATTTATGTGTACCTATACCTGATGGGTAGGATAACCTAGCAAAGTAAAATAAAAGGTTGTTCATCGTTGGGTCGTTACTAGTCAGGTTTTAAAGAAGTGTCTCTCAATAATGCCTAGGCATAATAGAGGCTCTCTTTGCATTGCAACCCACTATTGTAAATACAAAATCTCAATGTACTGTTTGCAAAGACATAAATTAAATAAATAAATAAAAAGAAGTTCATTGATGCCTGCGAGGTGCTCTTGATCCAAGGAAATGGACCTACCTTTCCCTTGGATCGAACTTAATACCCTCCCATTACCCTTTCCACAGGCACTGTATGATGACTTACGGATGTCGCGCTTCCCCAAAAATATAGTAATAGTATAACAATAATACCTAGTGTTGACTCGGGAAATCGTAGTAATACTGTTGTTATACCCCAGGTGTTGTTGTTAAGGGATACCAGAGTGTAAGTCTTGTTGTACTTGAATGGTATACATTTATTATACCAACAAGATGAAGAATTAAACACACATCTGCAACATATGGACATTTTTATTTGTAGACATTTCGCCAACCAGTGGCTTAATCAGTGCAAGGACATAATGTGAAAAATGTAGAATTATATACAAACGATTATTATAACCATGGGGGAGTGCTAAGCCCCTAGGAATTATACAGCACCTGTGGGGGGATGGGGTTGGAAGGTATTCAGGCTTAATTCAGGGAACTGGAGCACAGATCCAATTCCCTAGATCAAGAGCCCCTCACATAAGAAAGGAGGAGCACTGCAGCAGGCCTGTTGGCCCATACTAGGAAGGTCCTTTACAATCCTTCCCAAACAAAATATTTATCCAACCCAATTTTCAATGCTACCCAAGAAATAAGTTTTGATGATTCATAAGAACATAAGAACACAAGAAAGGAGGAACACTGCAGGAGGCCTGTTGGCCCATACTAGGCAGGTCCTTTACAATTCATCCCATTAACAAAACATTTGCCCAACCC